CTGTAATAGTGTCAACAATAAAAATAAAGTAAAAAAAGAAAATTTAAAAAAGAAGAACTTCAAATAATAATAGTTGATAAGTCCAAAGAATAGAAAGAAGAAAAAACAGTACATTTAATGGGAGACCCAATAGAAAACAAATGGGTGCATGAGTGATCAAATGGTAAATACCATTATCTTTACAGCTCTTTCCAACCCCAAATGGTTTCCCATTGCAGTTAGACTAAAACCCAGCCCTGGTCTCACATGTTCCAGTCTCCTCCTCTCTGACTTCTCTCTAGGCTCAGTGGCTTCTCTGACCCTTGAATGTGTCAAACTTGCTGTCCACTCAGGGCCCTTGCACTCACTCCTCTGACTAAACGGCTCTTTTCCCACATAGCACTGGCTCTTATATAACCTCCTCAATCGACCTCCCATGATCACCACTCTAAATTAATCATTTAGCTATTCTACCCTAGGCTATCACATCACCTTTGCTTTTGCTTTCATCTTTATTCTCTGTGAATTTAACCTCTGTTATTATTATTTTTACTTCATTATGGTTTTTCTTCTCTACTACAATATAAGCTCTATAGAAACAAGGACATGGAACATGGTATGCATCAAATAAATATTGTTGAATGAATCAATGAATGAATCAATGAATGAAATGTCTGTTAAATGGCTAAAGCATCCTCAGCTGTCTTAAAAATATATATAAGTTCTCCCAAATTAGATGCTAATATTTCCATTCTTTGTATTGATCAGATGACTTCTGCGATATTGTGTTTGAGTTTAGGTATCACATTTTAAGAGGGCTTGACTACCTGGAGTTTATATTTTATCTTAACTGCAATGGGAGAAGCATACACAACTTAAAATTTTGGAGTTGTTGTAAAGAAGACAGAATAAACATAGTTTTCTCCAGGTAACAGAATTATGAGAAAGTGGAGGTACAAGGAATGTGGTATAAGGTAGCATCAGAATTAGGATGCTCTAAATGAGATTTCATTTGCCCTGGAAGCAGAAACTTCATCGATCATTGAAATGGTTGATGCTCATAGCCACCTATTAGGGATCTTGTACACAGCATTTCTGCATAAGTGGGAAGTTGGACCAAAAGAGCTTGAAATCTCTTTTAACTTTGTTTCTACTCTATAATACTATATAATGGTCTTTGCAGTTAAGTTTATACCAAGTAAATACCACTCATAGTAATACTTCTCTTTCTCAGAAAGGGTCAGCATGGTTTTCATGGACTATTTTACTTTTTTCTAACCTTTGTTAATGTCCAGTTTCTCCTATTTATTTAATATCAGGAATATTTTGGCAGGAGGCTTTCCAGAACTGCATGGCCCTACTTTGCTGCTTCTGCACTTGCTACCCCAAT